TATTATGTTGGCAAAAGTACTGTAATTTTTAAAAAAATTTTTATTTCAGCATATTATGGGGGTATGTCAGGCAAAATATCTTGGATTTATCATTAATGTTTGATTTCTAAATAAATTGCAAAGCTTAATGTAAAGATATTTATTAATAAAACTGGCCAGTCTCCCTATGGTTATTGATTTAATTTTCATTATGTGAGTTTTTGTTTCATGACTATATTTTTGAAAGATTGTTTCTCCAATATTCATAGGTGTACTACAATTGTTCTTGCATTAAAGAGGGATTAATAATTGCAGATGGAGAAGGTGAATTTATTGATGCCAGACCTGGGAAATGTGATGCAAAATGCTATAAATTACCTTTGTTCATTGCTTTTGTCTCTTCTGTAATTATATTTTCTGGCTTTTCTGGCGTACCACTCACCATGGCCATCATTCGGTATGTATATGTTATTCAAAATCATTATTCATTTAATACATAAGAGAAGTGATTTGGGGAAAATTTTAGAATATTGAAGTGAATGATTTATTCTGTGTTTCATGGTAGCAAATGCAGAGGGCAAAACTGATACATTGTCAAAATTTATGTGTATACTTAATTCTCTCTTTTAACTAGTTTATTTGCATAAAGTAAATAGATATCACATTGAGTTTAACTTTAACTTAAAATAAGGTATTTACTTAACACACATGGAAAATTCATAAATATAAGAAATTCTTACTTATAACACATATTTAGTTATAATGTTGATTCATTGGTTAAAGGAATTTATTGACTATTTACTTTTATATCGGCCCATTTGACTATGAGAAAACATCAGTGTCATCAATACAGGAGCATAATAACTTTTAGAATTTCAGTACGTAAGTTTATTATTATTCTAAATAGAATTGACATTTATTATTCATATGTTCTTTCTCAATATATGAAATCTACTTAATATTAATTTTTATCATAGTAACAATAATTGGCCATTATTTTCCATTTTTATTCCAAGATGCTAACACAAAATTTTAAGTCATGAGGAGCTTGTACAGGCTGATCAGGTAACAAAGCGAGGAAAATGATAACTTCTATCTAAGATGATTTGAAAAGTGCTGTAGGTGGTATGACTTGAACTGGATTAGGAAGATAATTGGTTTCTCAAATTGCAAGCAGTTTGTGGTCAAGGCCCTAATAGGAAAAGTGAGCAGTGAAAGTAGAGGCAAAATTGTATGAAATGTCTTGTCAAGAAATTTGTTACGACAGGAATAGCATGACGGTGAATGAGACAAGGAGATTTTAGCTAGGTAAGGGTCTGATTATGGACAGCCTTGTGTTGCCGTGTTAACGTGAATAGTGTTACCCTGTGTACACACCTGGGAACCATTGAAAATCTTAAAGCTCAGGAACAAAAGTGATAAAATTGCATTTTACATAGAGTACTTTGAAGATAGTGTGGAGAATGAAACTAAGGGGAAGAACTGGAGAAAAAGAAAAGTAATTAGAATTTAGTAGTGGTAGTTAGAGATAAAAATGATAGAATATTTGGGAAATATTTAATTTGGATAAAAGGGTAAAGTTTATTAATTTGATGTGCCTAGTACAAAATACAGAGAAATCTAAGATTATATCCATACTCCCAGTTTGGGGAACTGAATGAATGATGATTCCATTAAATAGAAAATTAAGGCAATCACAGCAACAACAAAAATAAATAAATGGGACCTGATCAAATTAAAAAGCTTCTGCACAGCCAAAGAAACTGTCACGAAAGCAAACAGACAACCTACAGAATGGGAGAAAATATTCTCATGCTACACATCTGATAAAGGACTGATAGCTGGAATCTATTTAGAACTCAGGAAAATCAGCAAGAAAAAATCAAACAACCCTATCAAAAAGTGGGCAAAGGACATGAACTGAAATTTTTCAAAAAAAAAGACAGAATAATGGCCAAGAAACATATGAAAAAATGCTCAACATCTCTAATCATCAGGGAAATGCAAATCAAAACCACAATGAGATATCACTTACCTCCAGTGAAATTGGCCTT